ACTCAGTGAAGTTTGGAGTTGATGGAGAAACATGGAGACTGTGTCATCGAGAACCAAGATACTGAAATGAGATGCAACATTGTGTTTGAAGAACTTTGACATAGAGTAAAGATAGACTGAACCTTAAGACTTGACCTAGAGTAGAGGTAAGTCGTTTAGAAATGAAGAAAAATACAAGTGACTTGTATGACAAAGTAAAGCTGTGTTAAATATGAAGTGAAGCTTGGTTGAGGAAGAAAGGATCTCACCTAAGGTCCAACGAAGTAAAAAAAAAAAAAAAAAAGCAATGAAGTATAACGAGGTTTGAATTCTTCATTAGATTGATCATGATTGTATATATATTCATGGCACTGCACGATTAGAAGAGTACGACTGTTATAATAGATACGAGACAAAACAAGAAGCTAACACATAAACCTTACACGTTGCATAATAAATAAACACTTCTACATGCAACCAAGCCCTAAACCGAAGAGCAATAAGGATCACTCAAGAAAGGCAAGACTACTTAGGATTGTTGGAGGGAGTTCACATTAGTAAATTAGGGAATGAATTAGGGAATGATTATGGTTTATAAGTAAAGGACACATTTCCCAAGACTACTATTGCTTATGTTCTCCAAAAGCCTAGAGCATAACTATGAGAGCTTATATCATACCATTGTGGAGATCTGTTAAGTCTCTTGAAAGCTCTCGCGAATAAAGAAGAAGATTTCTCACACAAATCAAGTACACAATTCAAAGGGGAATACACCAAAACAATGCACACAATTCTCTACTCTCAACTCTGTTTTGTAAAGATTTTTCAAACCCAATTCTCCAATTTAACTTTGTGATCTATATGCTTGTTGATTTCAGCCTTTTGAAATCGCAAACAGCTTTTAAAAGTTTTTATCGTGTTGGGATATGGAGCCTGATGCCTAGATCTGGTAGAGATATATTTGAAAGATATTTGGTAAAGATATGATAGAGATATATATGGTAGATATTTGGTAAAGATTTGATAGAGATATATTTGTTAGATTATATCTCGTAGGTTTAAATCTTTGAAAGCTATATTTAGTAAATTGAAACCATATATATACCTCATTAGGCCGTGCTCTCAAAACATACTTTTCTTCATTCTCTGTATTCTATTGTGTTGTACATACATGAAGTCATCAATAATAAAATCTTTAGCCATCATTCTTCCTTGTATTTTCTCTCTCCTATTCTTTGTGTTCATCTTGATCGAGTGTGTGCGTTGTTGAGCGATCCTAACAGTTGGTTTCAGAGCTAACAACTGGTATTAGAGCGAGGCGAAATTTACCACGATTTGTGAAGATGGAAATTTCAAAGATTGGAATTGAAAAGTTTGATGGATCCGATTTTAGTTTCTGGAAGATGCAAATTGAAGATTGTTTGTACCAGAAAGGTCTTCACGAACCCTGTTGGGGGTGAAGCTGAATACTATGACCACGGAGCAATGGAAGCTCAAAGATCGTCAAGCCTTAGGGTTGATCCGGTTGACGTTGTCCAAAAACGTGGCGTTCGATATTATCAAGGAGAAGACAACGTCAGATCTATTAAAGGCGCTGTAGAATATGTACGAGAAATCGTCGGTTATGAACGAGGTGTATTTGATGTGGAGGCTGTTTAATCTACAAATGTCTGAAGGTGGATCTGTTACTGGTCATATAAACGAATTCAATATGATTACAAGTCAACTAAGTTCAGTGGATATTAATTTCGAAGATGAAATTAAGGCATTGATTTTGATGTCATCTTTACCCGAGTCGTGGGATACTATTGTTGCCGCGATAAGTAGTTCACGAGGATCTGATAAACTAAAGTTTGATGAAATTCTAGATGTAGTTCTTAGCGAAAATATTCGCAAACGGAAAATTGGAGATTCATTAAGCAATGCTCTCAGTGTCGATCGAAGGAGAAGAAATAAATCAAAGGGACCAAACAATGGGCGATCAAAATCAAGGAACCGAGAAAAATCTCCAAACAAACGTTAAGTGTTGGAGTTGTGGAGAAAAATGTCACTTTCGAGCAGATTGTACAAAGAGGAAGCAGAATCACAAATTAGAAGATGACGATGATTCGATACATTCAGCAGAAGATATTGGGGATGCTCTAATCCTTAGCGTGGACAATCGGATTGAATCCTAAATTTTGGATTCAGGTGCATCTTTTCATTCATCTCCAAATAAAGAGTTGTTTCAAAATTTCAAGTCTGGAAGTTTTGGGAAGGTGTATCTTGCCAACAACAAAGATTTGAAGATCAAAGGAAAATGGGATGTCTGCATAAAAACTTCAACAGGAAATCAGTGGACATTACAGGATGTCAAATATATCCTAGTCTCAAGAAGAACCTGATCTCTATTGGTCAGTTGGATAGCACAGGTTATGCAACAAAGTTTGAGAAGAGTTCATGGAAGATTGTGAAGGGTGCTATGGTGGTAGCACGTGACACAAAATCTGGAACTTTGTACACCACTGTAGGGTGTATGGACATGGCTGTTTTGATGTCCCACATTGGTTGGGGAGTAGAACAAACCACCATTTATAAGGGTGTGGAAACCTTCCCCTAGCATATGCGTTTTAAAGTCTTGAGGGGAAACCCGAAAGGGAAAGCTCAAAGAGGATAATATCTACTAGCGGTGGATCTGGGCTGTTACAAATTTGGTATCAGAGCAGCCAGGTTATAGGTCCTGTAGACATTTAGGATAGAAAGTCGTATCCTCTGTGACCACGCTCGTCAAACACATGCCACTCATGACCAGATGTTCTCACGTGATGGAAACATAGAGACAAAAGTCAAGCTAGTATTTATAGAGTATACCATGACCTTCTATGGCGTTATAATCGCACATTATCTAGAAGATGCGCTATGAAGTAATTGTAACCATAGTCCTTTTCTTTCTGTTGTGGTAGATAATGGCACCCAAGAGACGTGAACCTTATGTTGGGCTCGAACCCAGAAGGGGAAGAAGAGAGGAAATTCAGGACACCCCGGTTCCAACACCTGACGTAGAACAACCTGAATTTGAAGAGGAGGTTGGGGATACGCCCCAAACTAGCGAGGGGACCGTACCACAGCCATCAAGAACAAAAAGACGCCAAAGGAAGGCCAAGGCTCGAAGGCTGCTCGATACACCCCCTACTGCTCCCTTCTCTAAGGAGGTCCCATTGGTTCCAACCACTAGTACAGAAGTCCCACTAAACTAGTCGTTAGCCATGCCCACAGTAGAGATGTTTCAGATGTTCATGATGACCTCGATGGAGAATTAGGCTCTGACGAACCAAATGATACAGACCATGATGGCTAATCAGTGAATAGGGCAAGGGGCCAAAGATTCAGGAACTATGACTGTGAAGTCCTGCTACCTAAGAGATTTCTAGAGGCATAAACTACCTTCCTTTGACGGAGGCAAGATGGATCCCATTGCCGCAAAGAAATGGCTAGAGGCCATAGAAACGACCTTCCAGTTTATGAACTGCCCACTAAAGTATCAAGTCCATTGTGGGACGTATATGTTTAAAGGAGAGGCGCACTTCTAGTGGAAGGGTGCTCAGAAGACCATTATACACAAGGAGAGTTTATTACATGGTACCAGTTTAAAGATGCTTATCTCTACAAATATTACCCAATCACTGCTAGAGTGAAAATGCAGGCATCATTCCTCGAATTGAAATAGGGAGACAGATTAGTGGAGGAATATGACTTAGAGTTCAGTAGGTTAGCAAGGTTTTCTCTAGCCTATGTTAGTTCTAATGAGTTGAAGGCCGAACGATTTATTGCTGGCCAGAGGGAGGACCTGAAGGGGAATGTGACGGCCCAGTCATCTTCGATTATGCGAAAGCCCTTCAGGTGGCGACCCTCCTTGACGCGCCCCACACCAACAAGCTACAATTGGGAACAGCATAGTCATCCCACACTGCAGCCCAGGAAAAGGGGACAGACCGAAGCCACCCCAGAACTGGTAGACCGCCCCGTGGTCGCACTGATAAATGAAGAAGAGCCCTGGTACAGAACATGACCCTTTGTCCTAACTGTCGGCGTCCTCACATGGGGGAGTGCAAGGCAGGAACAGACACCCGCTATAGATGCGGCCAGGTAGGGCACTTTGCAGTGGATTGCCCTTAGAGAAACGATCAACGCATCAAATGGTCTACAGTACAGCATTAGAGGGGCAGGGTGCTCAACATTAGCAGGAGTGAGCTGTAGCCCACGCAACGACAGCTAGGCAAGCTAACCAGCCTGACGCAGTTGTCACAGGTACGCTACCCGTATTTGGCCATCTTGCTTTAGTATTGTTTGATTAGGGTTCAAAGCATTCGTTTGTATTTGAGGAGTTTGTAGAGCTAACGCACCTAAAGAAAGAACCTTTAGAGATCAGCCTATTAGTGTCCACCCCTGCTCACGAGCTGTTGTTAGCTACCCATAGGGTTAAGGGAGGTGGTGTAACAATATCAAGACGTGTCATCGAAGCTACACTGATAGTGTTAAGCATGCAAGACTTTGATGTCATCTTGGGTATGGATTGGCTAGGCGAGAATCGCATTGTGATAGATTGCGAGACTCGAATAGTGACTCTCAGGCTCCCGTCAAGGGACAACTGTACCTACAAGGGAGCGACTTCCAAAGGAACCCCAAGCGTTGTAACAACATTAAGGGCTAAGAAGTTGATTTCTAGTGGCACAAGTACATTTCTAGCCAGCGTGACCTTAGCCAATAGTAACAAACAAATAGCCTCATCTGTACACATCGTCAGGGAGTTAGTAGACGTCTTTTCGGAGGATTCACCAGGTTTGCCCCCAGCTAGGGAAGTCGATTTTGGGATCGATTTAGAACCAGGAATTGTGCCGATCTTCAAGGCACCTTACAGGATGGCACTTGCAGAACTCAGGGAATTGAAGGAACAATTACAGGAGCTGTTAGATAAGGGTTTCATCTGACCCAGTGTATCACCCTAGGGAGCCTCTGTTCTGTTTGTCAAGAAGAAGGACGGGTCCATGCGATTGTGTATTGATTACAGGGAACTAAACCATGTCACCATAAAGAATAAGTACCCCCTCCCGAGAATTGACGACCCGTTTGATCAGCTATAGGGAGCAATAGTTTTCTCGAAAATTGACTTAAGGTCGGGGTATCATCAGTTGAGGATCAGAGAAGTGGATAGACCCAAGACAACCTTCAGAAGTCGGTATGGACATTACGAGTTTCTCGTTATGTCCTTTGGTCTTACCAATGTACCAGCGGTTTTCATGGAACTAATGAACAGGGTGTTTAAGGAATTCTTAGACACTTTTGTCATAGTGTTCATCTACGAAATTCTGGTATACTCTAAGTCAGGGGTAGATCACGGAGAACACCTAAGAAAAGTTCTGACAATACTGAGAGCCCAGCAGCTGTATGCCAAGTTCTCCAAGTGCGAGTTTTGGTTGTCTGAAGTAGCATTTCTGGGTCACGTAGTGTCAAGCAAGGGGATTATAGTGGACCCAGCTAAGATAGAAGCAGTGATGAGGTGGCCAAAGCCGACCAGTCACGGAGGTGAGGAGTTTTCTCGGGCTAGTTGGATATTTGTCTAGGATTTCTCTAAAATTTCCTCAGCACTCACTCAGCTAACCAAGAAGGGCAAGCATTTTGCTTGGACTCCAGCTTGCGAACAGAGTTTCCAGGAACTCAAGGAGAGGTTGGTGACTGCACCAGTTCTTACAATTACGAATGGGTCAAGTAATCTCGTGGTGTACAGTGATGCATTAGGGAAAGGTTTAGGGTGTGTGCTCATGCAGAAGGGTAAGGTGATAGCGTATGCTTCTAGACAACTGAAGGAATGAACAAAACTACCCCACACATGACCTCGAGTTAGCAGGGGTAGTGTTTGCTCTGAAAACGTGGCGGCATTACCTGAATGGGAAAAAGTATAAGTCTTCACTAATCATAAGAGTCTCAAGTATTGTTCATGTAGAAGGAGCTCAATATGAGACAAAGGCGATGGTTGGAACTGATAAAGGATTATGACATAGAAATCCTGTACCATCCAGGCAAAGCCAACATTGTAGCTGATGCATTGAGCAAGAGGGCTATGCATACTTCCGCGATGATCACCATGCAGGAAAGACTACAAGATGAGATGAAGAGGGCTGGGATAGATGTGGTGGTCAAAGGTGGTATTGTTCAGATGACACAGTTGACCATACAACCCACCCTATGAAAGCAAATTATCGACGCTCAGAGATCTGATAAACACCTTAGTAAAGTGTGGAATCAGACTGAGACAGAGAGACCAGCAGGGTATTCTATCTCCTCAGACAAGGACCTATTGTGGCAAAATCGCATATGCGTTCCCCAAGACGAGAGAGTCTTAAAAGATATTATGACTGAAGCCCATGATACATCTTATATGTTCCACCCTAGAAGTACAAAGATGTATCAAGATCTGAAAAGATACGTGGTCCGAAATGAAAAGGGACATAGTGGATTTCGTAAGCCGTTGCTTGACTTGGCAGCAGATGAAGGCCCCGAGGCAGCGGCCAGTGTCATGGTCCTACATTTTTTTACCGTGCGACATCGTGATCTTGACACGCTCACGACTAGCTTTAAGGAGAATTAAGCCCCATATATATTTTTCACCCCGGCTTTGTGGCTTCGTCGGACCTTAGGCAAGGTTTATCTTCACCAATCGAACATCACTTGTGCGAAATTCAAGCTTGTTCAACCACACACGCCGCCTACGCGTGTATGTTCAATCGTCTGCGATACATCCGACTTGCCTCTACACTAGGCCAAGTCATTCGACTCGACCTTGCCTCTACTCGGGCCAAGGTCTCTCAATGCAAGGTCGCATCTTATCTTGTCATCTCGATCCCCATCGACGGGGTCCATATGTCTTGATGCCATCTCGAGTCTTAGGATGTCGTCGGCCATCATAACTCGCTCGATCATGCCATCGAGAATGGGCCCGCGTGTCATTCATCTCATTAGGACTTCCCGAACATCCATCCATTCGAGTTTTATCGAGGCATTGGCCCTCCCGTGCCAATGCCGAGTCGTTTATGGATACTGTATCGGATAGCGGGTGTATGTAGCAACCTCCAACACGCGGGCTGGGGCACAATATCGGCACTCCCGTGCCGTCCGATACCATCCTTAAAAAACCCATTTCAAAGGAAGTCGCTCGAGACACTCGTCTCGACACGCTCGCTCACACTGTGACACACGTATGTGCCACAGGGTAGCTCACTTAGGCCACAGGGCCCAGAGGTGGTGGAGAGCTAACACCATGGTACCCCCTATATTACATTTCGAGTCATTTTCAATCTTCCAGATGTAGACATGATTTTGGTGAACGGTCATAAGGTGTCGTGCATTGTCCGTCCGGTGTCCAATTGACACGAAACTTGGTGAGCAATCATATTTCATATGGACGGACTTAACTCCCAAACTCCATGCCCATATTTCTTCCGAAACTCCAACTTTTGAGGTTAAGGCCCGGGGCCCTACCCGACCCTTCAACAAGCCTATCTTTGCCCTTCATGTCTATTCCGATGTCTCTATCTTACTTATGTCTCAACTTGTCTTCAATGTCCACTTCGCGTGGTGGTGTTTTGGATGATGCATCGTCCTCCTCGATCGCATCATGATACTCTTCTATATTCGCCCGCATGTGGCTGGATGGGCGTCTCTTGAGGGATGCCGCTTTGCTTGTCATGACGTGAGGGTCACAACCTACTCTCTTCATAGTATAATTGTGACACCGAAGGGAGAGTATGTGAGTATGGTGCTTCAACAAAGTCTTGTTCCGCTTGCCTTTACTCACCAAGGAAAAAAAGGGTTGTTCTCAGACTGAGAGTTGCTCCTAGAAAGCATATCAGAGAACAATTTAGTGTAATCCCTTTTTAGGCTCGAGGCTCTGTCTAATCTTCCAAGAATATGTATAGTTCATTCTCAATTCACATTGAAATTATTAAATAGAAAAGTGGTACCCTCATTTTAGAAGACTACCTCAAGCCCCCTCAGTGGAATGATTTTCCAATGTTGATTCTTCAGAGAAGGGAGTAGATAACTTAAATAAACAATGATGGTCCTGGTCCCCAAAAAGAAAGTCTCCATGAAAGGAAAGGGGAGGAACTAGTTAGCAGGTGGGAATACTTTCCCAGGAAAGGGCAATGGAGGGGTGCCATTGAAACCATTTATATCTTATAGGCTTTGAAAGCTTGTACAATGAGTTTGATATAAAAGGAAGCCTTTCAATCTAGTATTCAGCTCGTCAGACTGCATGGGAATCTTCCTAGGGGTTTCCAACACTCAATCCCCATGGACAGCTCTTAGATTGCAAGGCTTCTTTGGTTCGTTATACACTTTAGGAGAGTCCTTCTTATTTGACAGTATAGCTTAGCTTATTTAGTCAATGCCATAGTCAATACAAATACAAACTCTATCCCTCCCAGAAATTATGTACTAGCGAAGAAAGAAAGAGACTACAACAATTGGAACTATCTCGCCGGTAGAAGGAATAGGACTCCCGGGCAGATCAGGTACAAGCTCCCCAGGGCCAGAAAAGAAAGAAGCAATGTATTGACAGCAAACAAAGATAACTACATCTATCACCCAGCAGGACTGCTACAGCCCCGGAACGTTCCCCAGTGAAAATGGGAAACAGTCTGTATGGATTTTATCTTAGGTTTGCCAAAGACAAAGAAGGGTTTCAACGTCATCTGGGAAGTTGTAGACAGATTGACCAAGACGGCCCACTTCATTTGAGGCAAGTCCACATATCGAGTCGATCAGTGGGCTCAGTTATATATCAAGGAGATAGTACGCCTGCACGGGGTACCAGTGTCCATAGTATCAGACTGGGACACCAGGTTCACCTCTCAATTTTGGAAAAGTCTCCAGATAGCACTAGGAACTCAATTGAGGTTCAGTACAGCGTTTCATCCTAAAACGGACGGACAAACCGAAAGGTTGAATCAGATCTTAGAGGATATGTTACGAGCCTATTCCTTAGATTTCTCTGGGTGCTGGGATGAACATCTTCCTTTGATGGAGTTTACCTACAATAACAATTATCAAGCGACCATCCAGATGGCCCCCCTTCGAGGCACTGTATAGGCGTAGGTGTTGAACACCAGTGTTTTGGGAAGAGGTAGGCATGCATCAACTACTGGGAACAGAGCCGACAGAAAAGCTATACGGATTTGCGTAGAAGGGACCTCGAATTTGAGGTGGGTGACCACGTGTTCCTGAAGGTAGCCCCTATAAAGAGGGTGTTGAGGTTTGAAAAGAAGGGAAAATTAAGCCCAAGGGTCATAGGCCTCTTTGAGATTCTAGAAAGAGTTAGGGCTTGTTGACTCTGGCAATTCGGAAGACAGTGTCGACGAAAAATTGGCCGAAGGTTTCTTCGAAGGAAAAATTAGCGGAAGTAAAAGGAGAGAGAGTGAGAGATTCGCTGATAATGCTGAAGACTCGATGTTTTTATTTTACTTCAGTTGAACAGTTTAAATAACAAATCTAATTACAAAAATAGAAAAAACAAATATACAAAAATAGAAGAAGTGGACGAAGACTTCGCCCAAATTGTCAAAACAATGGCTCCTAGAATCACGCTTCTCCATTCGCGTGAATTAAGATGTAACTGAATAAGGCATGACTTTTATTTAACAATCTCCTCCTAAAAGCTGTACCTTATTATTTGAACTCTGATCTTTGACAGTAGTTCTTCGAATTTCACCCGCGCCAGGGACTTGGTGAAAATGTCTCCAAGTTGTTCCTCTGTTCGGATGAAATCAATCTTGATGAGCCCTCAATCTGCACATTCTCGAATGTAGTGGAATCTGATTTCTATGTGCTTGCTCCGGTCGTGCAAAACTGGATTTTTGATCAGGGAGATCGTAGCTTTGTTGTCTACGTATAGCATTGGTGGATCGCTTTCTCTCCCGATGAGTTCTTCCATTAGTCGTGCAAGCCAGATCCCTTGTGTTGCTGCCATCGAAGCGGCGATGTATTCTGCTTCGCAGGAAGACAAAGCAACCACCTTCTGTTTTGTTGATTGCCAGCAGATCGCGCCGCCTGAGAGAAAGTAGATCATTCCGCTGGTGCTCTTACGATCATCAACGTCACCGGCCATGTCACTATCACTGTAGCCGACCAGCTTGAGTTTCTCCTTTCCGCTCCCTGCACAATATCTCACACCCCAGCCTCTAGTTCCGGCTACATAGCGCAGGATGCGCTTGACAGCCACTAAATGCTCCTCCCTAGGTGCTTCCATAAACCTGCTCACATAGCCAACAGAATAAGCAAGACCAGGACGAGAGTTTACCAGATAGCGCAGACTCCCGACAATGCTGCGGTAATTGGTGGAGACGACTGTCGTCGTAGTGTCGGCCTTCCTTAGTTGAAGTCGGGCCTCCATTGGCGTCCTAGTAGGATTACTGTCCACAAGCCCAGTTGTGTCCAGCAACTTCCTCGCGTATGCACTTTGGCAGATGGAGATGCCGGAAGAGTTCTGTTGCACTTCGATGCCGAGGTAGTAGCTGAGCACACCGAGATCGCTCATCTCGAAGTTTTTCGACATCTCCTTCTTGAACCTTTCGAGGACTCCCACGTCGCCTCTAGTGATTATGAGGTCGTCGATGTACACTCCCACGATCAGTCACTTTTTGCCGTGGCCGTACGTGTACATGCCATGCTCAGAGGCACAACGTTTGAAATTCAGTGACAGTAGGGTACTGTCAAGCTTCGCGTTCCAGGCTCGTGGGGCTTGTCGAAGCCCGTAGAGTGCTTTGTGCAGGCGCAGTACCTTATTAGGGTTGTCCTTATCCAGGAAGCCAGGTGGTTGTCGAACATAGACGGTCTCCTTCAACTCTCCGTTAAGGAAAGCAGACTTTACGTCCATATGGTGAACCTCCCAAGAGTGATGTGCTGTAATTGCCAGCAAGAAACGAACGGATTCTAACCTTGCTACTGGTGCAAATACCTCTTCGAAGTCCACTCCTTGCTTCTGGACATAGCCCTTCGCCACCAGACGAGCCTTGTGCTTCACAACTTCTCCTTTTTCGTTGCGCTTCAGTTTGAAGACCCATTTGAGCCCTATGGCTCGGTGTCTCGGGGGCATATCCTCCAGACTCCACGTCTGGTTCTCAGTGATGGATGTCATCTCCTCCTGCATTGCCTTCCGCCAGCACGGGTTCTTTTCTGCTTCGGCGAAGGTGTTTGGTTCATCTGCACTAACGGCATGTAGTTCGGCCACTTCCTCGAGCTCGCACGCTGCTAGTCCAGGTGGTTCACCTCCTCCCACTAGGTCATCCATCCTCCGGTACCTAGCCTCTAGATCAGTATCGTGATCGGCATCCAGCGTCGAATCCGCAGTCTGTGGTGTTGCGAATTCCACTGGTTCAGGTGGTGCACCTGCTGGCGACGGTGACGTCTCCTGATGCTGGGCTCCTCCTTCTTCAGGCTCGGTGACGAGGTACTCCACAGTGAATTGATTTGGATTACGGTCTGCCTCGATCACGTCATTCCACTGCCAGAAGGTGCTTTCGTCGAAGACGACGTCGCGAGACACGTGAGCTCGCCCCCCTACAGGATCGAGCTTGGCGAGATGGGGATGTGTTACCTTCATGTATGCGACGCAGTCGAACACGTGAAAATGATGTACACTTGTATCAGGCCTCATATGGCGTCTTCTCTGTTGGGGGGAGTAGGGCGCCGTTGTATGCCAATCTCGTCGCAGTACGTACTGAAACTTGCCGAGGTGAATTCTCCGCTCGCGCCTTAATGCGCTTAACCGCCTCACTTTTCGCTTGCAACAGAGTCAGCCACATGAAGTACTTACTGAAACTTGCCGAGGTGAATTCTCCGCTCGCGCCTTAATGCGCTTAACCGCCTCACTTTTCGCTTGCAGCAGAGTCAGCCACATGGCTTTTGTCATCGACTAACAGGAGGAAGAGACTCTCTGAAAGGCGTGCACCAACTCCTTCCTTCTTCTGTAGCTTTTCTAGGGCAGGAAAGTTTAAGTGTCCGTACCTTGCGTGCCACCTCCAAGATACCTCTTCTCGGTCCCGGGAGGCTAACGGGTTGGTCTATCTCTAACTCCAGGATGTAAAGACGGTTTGTGGTGCGCCTTGCCTGCGTGAGCAGGCGTCGTTGATTATCGCAGATTTTCAGTAGTCCGCGCTCGATGGTAATGAAGCAACTTGTCTCATCGAGTTGACCCAGGCTCACAAGGTTAACCTTGAGCATCGGGATGAAGTAGAACGTCGGTCAGCTTGCGATGCTCGCCTCCTCCCTTACTGATGAACAGGATGGTGCCGCGCCCTTCGATCTCGACGACGGAGCCATTGGTCGACTCCTTCTTTTGATTCCCATCTTTCCCGCGCGTGCGCCCGTGGGACAGAGTAGACGGCCCTTGCGCCTGTAGGTTGACGCGCATCAACAAGGCCCACTCGTTGTAGTTGGACCTTGTCAACATCAGGTACTGAACGACGGCGGTCAACATCAACAAGGCCCACTCGCTCAACGACAACTCGACGCCCGTCATCACGACGTCGGCCTCTTCGTTGTGGTGATGGAGATGCCGGCACTTGACGGCGGCGTGGAGGAGTGAGCGGAGCTTGCTCGGGATGGACCCCACGATTTGCTTATTTTCGCCCTTTGCATTTTCTTCTACTCGAACCTGAGACCTGTGTGTTGTTAGGTAGACACTCTAACCACTTGAGCCATTCAACTTGATTGTTGATAGGTTGGCTCTTCTGTGATGGTATACTACCGATCGCTTCAACGAGGCTCTGATACCACTTGTTGACTCTAGCAATTCGGAAGACAGTGTCGACGAAAAATTTGCCGAAGGTTTCTTCGAAGGAAAAATTAGCGGAAGTAAAAGGAGAGAGAGTAAGAGATTCCTGAAGACTCGATGTTTTTATTTTACTTCAGTTGAACGGTTTAAATAACAAATCTAATTACAAAAATAGAAAAAACAAATATACAAAAATAGAAGAAGTGGACGAAGACTTCGCCCAAATTGCCAAAACAATGGCTCCTAGAATCACGCTTCTCCATTCGCGTGAATTAAGATGTAACTAAATAAGGCATGGCTTTTATTTAACAGGGCTGTGGCTTACAGAATTGCCCTGCCACCGAGCCTTGCCGCTGTACACAATGTGTTTCCTGTATCCATGCTACGGAAGTACACTCTAGACCCTACCCATGTAATCGAGCACAAGACGCTGCCTCTTCGGGAAGATCTGTCTTACGAGGAAAAGCCTAATAAAATTTTGGCTCGAGACACTAGGCGATTGCGCAACAAAGTTATTCCCTTGGTTAAGGTCTCATGGAGTAACCACCGTGAGGAAGAGGCAACCTGGGAACGAGAAGAGGACGTGAGGAGAGCTTATCCCGAACTCTTTCAAGGGATATCCACTTTCAGGGACGAAAGTTCCTAAGGGGAGAGTTTGTAACGCCAAAAAAAAGAGGGGGGGAGGGGCTAAGTCAACAGAGGGGCAAAAATGTGTCATTTTGCCCCTCCAGCCATAATAGGGGTTCAAGGAAAACCCCATCAAATCTCCTGCAAAAGAAAAAGAAAGTTAGAGAGAAAATTGAGAGGAAACAGAAAAGAGTCGTTGCGAAGTTCATCAAACCACCGTCGGAATCCACCTTCAGACGAGACCTGTACAAGGACTGAGAGGCTAGCGAGGCCAATGCTCCATCAAGATCCAAGAACGTTTCGTGAGGTAAGGTTCTGAACGACATTTTTCAGATATGAGCTTTTCCTATATGAATCGAGACCTAAAATGTTGAGATATTCATCTAAGAACAACTCTACGCACAATCTGTGAAGAAGTTTGGCCGAAATCTGAATCTGAAGGTGGAGATCTGAGAATCGTCTGAGAACGGTAAGTGAACTTCCGATGCTCTTAACTCGTCTGGTAGTTAAGCTAAAAAATTACAAAAAAAATACCATGCCGAAGAAATCATCTCGATCCGAACTCCAAACCAAAAGATATGTAAATCGAAAATGTGACTCTGTGTTACGGATTGCAGAGGAGAGAGAGAAAAAAAAGACTGCGTCGGCCAGGGAGCGGCAGAGGGCGGCACGGCAGGCACCAGACATGCATCATCGCGGCTGGAGCAACGCATCCCCAGTGAGATGACGACACGTGTCGCCTGCAAACCCCAAGCCGAACCGGACTGTCTAACCCGCAACTGCGTAGAAGCAATCGCACGTGCGGTCTGTAACTGGTGCACTTCCTCGCGCGTGAGAACGGTCGTTTTGGCCTGTTTGTCCTCTGTTTGCCCGATTGTTGTCCCGATTCCAGTTCTAATACTGTTTTTATGTGAATAAAGACCTAATTGAAGAAAATCAGTATTTTTGGACACCTCACGGGCAAAAAAACGATAGCAAAAGGGCACGCATCAACCAGGTAAGTCACCACTCGGTGTTTAGGAAGAAATACTTGTAGGATTCGCTTGGACTGTATGCATGCTAGTTATTCGCCTTAGGTGGTAGCCTCTTGTGAATAATTGTTATGAGCTGATGATGTGTAATATTATGAGAAGTTTTGGGTGAATTATTTGAGCGTGCGATCATGCTTTTAATTTCCGTTGTACGTTTGCATGTGTTAATTCATGTTGGAATTGCGTATTCTGCGTTCTGGGTGCTTGATGGATGACTTCGCCCCATTGAGCGTGAACTTCGCATTCTAGGTGCTTGATGGAGGCCATCGCCCCCTTGAGCCTGCGTGTCTAATTTGCATGAATTATATAGTATGATGTTAGACGATGGTTGTATGCACACTCTGTTATTTTCTATGGCCCATTACTATGATAAGCCTAGGGATTTGATGTTAGGAACGACAAGTCGCTCTAGCTAGACTTAACCTTCCCCTAGGAACTTAATGGATTACCACGACAACAAAGTATCTCAGGAATGTTCATAGATTGCTAGCGTGAGAACAGTATCTAATAGCTTCATGGGAGGACCAAGGGTTCCTGACCAGTTCTTATTGCTCTTAGTGGTTTTGCATGGGAAATGTGTCCCCACGTCGTATAACCCATTAGCTTCATGGGAATGATGGTGTTAATATAATACATGCGGAAGCAATTTGGATCTTAGGCATTTTTAGAACATCAATTATAGTAAATAACTAGCATGTTCATAAGTATTAAAACTTAAGGAGTTTGAATACTAACCTTTTGTAGTTCAAACTTCTTTTTCCTCACGAACTGGTTTCAAACCACCATAGTGTCTTCTCCACTATCCTCCGACCTTAGAATGGGATTGTGGAATCCGGTGAGTGACTAAACTTGGGAGGGATTTTGTATATATGAAGAGAGTGTTTGTGAGAGGTTTTTCTCAAGGTTTTTCACCAAGAAGAAGAAGACCTTCCATGTACCATGATCACTCTATTTAAAGAGTCATGTTTGCATGTTCATGCAAATTTGAGATCACCAAATTTTGACACTCAAAAATCCACTCAAATGTTTGGGATTATGTGGCAAGCATGCATGTTTGAGTTAACCAAATTTTGACACTCAAACTTGTGGAATTTATTTGGCAAGCAAGCAAGTTTGGTTAAACCAAATTTTGACACCTCAAAATTCCACTCACATGGATTTTACATTAAATGAAGTCAACATTTTGACTTTCTTCATTTTAATTCAACAATTAATTTGAATAATTAATTTCAAATTAAAGTAACATAAATGATTAATTAAACAATTTAATTAATATTTAATATTAATTCAAATGCCAATCCCAGTCAATTCGACACATACTTGATTAAGATATTTAAATCTTATTTAAATATATCAGATTCTCTCTTTTTGTTTAATTCGTAAATAAAACAAAAATGCGGTTAAATATATCGTATATGTAGCGCATATTCCCTAATTTGAATTCGAACACTTCGAACTCACTCATCACACTATTCTATGGTTTAGTCCGATATGAGCTAGTAGAGGGACCTAATGGACCTATAGATCATGGGCTCCAACGATCCAAGATTAACCGATTAAACTCATTAACCTTGTTAACCAACATTCGTTAACTACTAGGACACTCCACTATAGCCTAGTAGTTGCACTCCTCTCACTATAGATATATTTCTGTCCATTTGATATAACCATGATTAGTAAGTCGATCATTCACAGGTTGTTCGTAACTGGAACTGGGTCAATTTACCATTTTACCCCTGAAGTTACTTCTTGTTCCTTATGTCTCACCGATCCTCTAATGAACAATTGGTTTGTGGTCCAACCAGTAAACCGAATCCCTCTCAGGCCAATGAGAGGGTGGGGCACCTTGTTCAAGACCTGGAGTCAGTGCTTAAGAGAACTACCTCTCTTCTATCCATAAAAGTGGGTATGAGTGAATTCCATCTTGCACCCCACGTCCCCAGCCATTCACCCAGTTTTACCCCTGAAATGGGAGGTCTATTGAGTCGGCGAACTAGAGCCACTCTCACCCATGCAAATCTAAGGATAATTCCGAATAAACAGGAGTTCATAGTTAGCTCAGGATTAAAATTGAGTTACCTAGGTTATCGAATGAAAAGAAAATCAGTCTCAACAGTAAACGACATTATAAAGTGAGAGTGGTTTTCTTCATGGTCCGATCTTATGCAATACTCATTGCATAGGACGCCCCCACTCACATGTCTCCACATGTACAATTTAGTGATCACATTGTTTATATCATATACAAAAGTGGGCCGCATCCATAGTATCTCCAGAATAAGGTACTCAGCCTTATCCTTATACTATAGATCATTTTGACTATATACTTGAACTTGATCCACTCTTATGTCTCTACATATAGTTCAAGTAATCATACTATAGCCAGAGTGTTCTTAGTTTATTGGATTTAGATTAATGATCGTAAAGTTCACTTTATTTAATAACAATCTTTACTGAATAAACAACAATAATAACTTTATTGAAAATAGAATATGTTTTTGTTTACAAACTATGAGTTTTAGGACATAAAACCCAACAGGGAACGGGTTGGGTCGCGCCCCCCATAGGGGGACTATATGGGTTAAGAGGTACTCAGCACACCCCTAGGCTAGATACCATGTAGTCCTAGATAGCCATGCAAAGGTAGTGCCTCATAGAGAGATATCGACCATATCAACTTGGCGTAAGGAACCTTTAGGTATCTAATGAAAGGACGATGAAGCGGTGAAGCCCAAGGGGCAAGCTCCAAGGGACTAAGATTAGATCCAGATGTCCTAGAACAGAATTAGGAGATCGTGGGAATCTATTAAGTTAGGATGCGAAGAGAGCCTACAAGTAGGTGGCTTACTGAGTATAATTTTTATACTCATCCTTGCTATGTTTTCCTTTTTCAGGAGCACGAGGCATCGGTCAAGGGCGGGCATGATGGAGACGGGGATTGTCACAGAGGAATGGGTTGTCCCGGGGTGTCAGTCCAGTCTTTATTTTGTATTTGCATTCTTTCATAATTTGTTTCATAACTGTTGATTGGTTTTTTTGTTTGTCGTTTGAAAATTTTATTGGAATTAAATGATTTTCTCTATTGCATATTTAAATTATTTTGTGCATTCATGTGTCGTTGATAGTCATGGTTTGTAATAAAATATTAGGTTGTGACAAATTTGGTATTAGAGCCAAACACCGGATGATGTGCCAGCCTTCTCGCTATTTCTCGAAGGGGGTTAGACATGAGGCGGTGTGCAAGTAAGGACGCTGGGCCCCAAAGGGGGGTGGATTTGGGGGCGGTCCCACATCAATTGGAGGAAGGAAAGAGTGCCAGTGAGGACTCTGGACCTCGAAGGGGGTGGATTGTGATGTCCCACATTGGTTGGGGAGGAGAACAAACCACCATTTATAAGGGTGTGGAAATCTTCCCCTAGTAGACGCATTTTAAAGCCTTGAGGGGAAGCCCGAAAGGGAAAGCCCAAAGAGGACAATATCTGCTAGCGGTGGATTTGGGCCGTTACAGCTGCTGTTGCTGAGAGTGCTTCAAATTCAAGCCTATGGCATAATAGACTTGGACATATGAGCATTAAAGGAATGTTGATATGAGTCCTTATAAGAACTGCGTTATGAGCAAATAGAAACGAGTTAGTTTCACAAATACAGTTAGAGAATTGAAGAAAAGTACCAGGACAACGAAGCAAGTGGGAGTTGAGGTTGAGTTGCTGAAAGATTCACCTAGTGATGTTGTAGCAGATACTCAAGAAACTCCTGAGACTATTGTTGAGGAACCAAAGGTGAAGCAAGTGGGAGTTGAGGTTGAGTTGTTGAAAGATTCATCTAGTGATGTTGTAGTAGATACTCAAGAAACTCCTGAGCCTGAGGAACCAAAGGTGAAGCAAGTGGGAGTTGAGGTTGAGTTGTTGAAAGATTCATCTAATGATGTTGTAGCAGATACTCAAGAAACTCCTGAGACTGTTGTTGAGGAACCAGAAGCAAAGCAAGTAACACCTGAGCAGGTGTTGAAAAGATCATCTAGAGCCATCAGTACCAAATAGGTATGTACATTCTTTACACTATCAGTTGGTGACTGATGAAGGGGAACGAAAGCCCCTTGATGAGGCCCTACAGTTGGAGGATACAACTAAGTGGGAGCAAGCTACAAATGATGGGATGTCTATACTTCAGAAATGCGTTGCTCTTTCATCTGTGAAGGCTGAGTACGTGGCAATAGCTGAAGTTGGAAAGGAGATAATATGGATGACAGACTATCTAGAAGAATTAGGCAAGAAGCTACGCAAGAAGATTCTTCAGATAGATAGTTAGAGTGTCATGCAATTGGTGAGGAATTCAGTTTATCATTCAAAGACAAAACACAGAAGGTGATACCATTTCACTCGGAGGTTAGTGGAAGATGGTGATGTACTTGGAGAAGATAGAGGGTGCAAGGAATCTAACAAACATTTTGTGTTGATGTTGGAACATTGAGGTTGTGCAAAGCCTCAAGTGGTATGGTACAAATTGAGAATGAAATTCTTCATTGACTGGATTAGTCTCGAAGTGGGAGATGGTTGGGGTTGACTGGACCAGTCTCTAATTGGGAGATTGTTGGGGTTGACTGGATCAGTCTCCAAGTGGGAGATTGTCCAGATATAGAGTCTGATGCCTAGATATGGTAGAGATATATTTGGAAGATATTTTGTAAAAATTTGATAGAGAGATATATATATGGTAGATATTTGGTAAAAATTTGATAGAGATATATTTGTTAGATTATATCTTTCAGATTTAAATCTTTGAAAGCTATATTTAGTAAATTGAAACCATATATATATACCCCATGAGGCCGTACTCTCAAAACGTACTTTTCTTCATTCTATGTATTCTATGTTGTTGTACATACCTGAATCATCGATAATAAAACCTTTAGTCAACATTCCTCCTTGTATTTTCTCTCTCCTGTTCTTTGTGTTCATCTTGATCGAGTGTGTGCGTTGTTGAGCGATCCTAACAATTGGTATCAGAGCTAACAACTAGTATCAATCCTAACATATCGTTCCTCGATCAAAAAATATTTTACAAAAATAAGAGTAAATGATTGCATATATGTATAGAAAATTAGTAATGATACAAAGAAGCAAAACAATAAACAATAGAAATGGGAAATTATTGGAATATCTCAACCCAGCTGAATAATGATGGTTAAATAATTAGATATTTTAGCAGATTCTTCCCTCTTCGCAGCTCTGCAATCCCATTTTGCTTCTCTTTCTCCAACTCAAAGGGAAATCAAAGAGAGAATGGAACGTATTATATTAAAATAATAATAATAATAATTTAATGCAAATTATTAAAAAATGTGCATGTTTTCTAACAATTTATGGTACAATTTTGTGGGCCTGAACTGAAAAGAAGAGAGAGTTGAAGGCATTGCAATTGAAAATGAGAGGGGTGTCATAATATTGACAAAGGCAAAGCCAACGCGGAGGCGGCAAATGTCAAAATATACCTTACCTTCCTACTTCTAATAATTTGGGCGCACATGCATTCCCCAAATAAAAATTCACTCACCTAATATATTCCAAAACTATCTTCCATTATATACATATTTTTTTATTGTGGCTGCACATGCCTATAAGCCCACACCCGCTGCTCCCCCTCTTCATTCCCCTTCTCCTCGACCATTTACATATATTTTTTTATTTCATATCATATCATATTATATCATTCTTAATTACCTTCCCTCCAACCTTCGTTGAACTTGGGACAAAAACAAGTTGACTTTACTTCATAAAACATATCCCTCTCGAATAAGTTGCATCACCAACTGACTATTTTACAAGGTTGGAGTTATTCTCCATCCGCCTCAGACCAATTGGTGGCCTTGGGGTTGTGTTCTCATTTCATTATTCCATATGGGAAATTGTGACCTATGAATGGTGATGAGCTTAACAATTATACATAAATTAAACTAGCAACCTTATTTTAACGGTCAGTTTTAATGGTGTGACGTTGGAGAGTGGGGAAAGTGAAACCAAAATGTATATAAACCTCTGGGTGTCCGTAATTTTACAGATAACAAACACAGTGAAAGACAAGACAAGCATCAAACATTAACAATCTGGATAAACCCAAAACACAATTGTCTTACATTTATTACATCACGTCTATCACTAAGTTTCAGTCATTCTTTCTTCATCAAAATGAAAACCAAGTAATCCTATCATCCACACAATCTCTATTAACAATATATATAATATCTATGAACACAAAGCATGGAGCTTCAAACCAAGAAAAATGAAAAAAAAGAAAAAAGAAAACTCATTTACTTGAATGTTGTTTAGGCAAATAATTGGAGTATGTAGAGGAGGAGGAGGAGGAGGTTAAAGGGTATTTCCAAAAGAAACAGTAAGAGTATGGAGGTGTTTGTTATATACAGCATCTGAGGAAGCTTGTTGCCTCTGCCACCCGGCCTCTGTTATAAACCCTGTTTCCGCCGCCGTACCTCTACTTATGTTCTCTACATACATTGGTTCAGTTTGAAATTGAAATTCTTGATTTTGCACTGCCGCCGCCGCGTTCCCCATGACCATATATGGATTCCCCACAAACTCCGACCATTTGATGTCTTCCGGAATTGCAGTTGGATTTAGTTTCTCTGATTTAGCGCAATCGGGGAGCCCCCCCCAGGAGAAGTTACTGGCGTCGTAGAAGTGGTTGTTTCCGCCGACACCGCCGGTGAAAGTGGTTCCCTCCCAGGTGGGTACTTGGGGCTTGGTCGGGATTGGCGGCGGGGGGAGGTTGAAGCAGAGGGAATTGGGATTTGGATTTGGGATTCTAGAGGGTGCGTAATTGAGGTGATGAAAAGAGAGGTAATCCACCATTTCAGAAGGTGTGTTGGTTGTGGAAGTTTGGAATCGGAAAAAGTCCTGTGGAGTTTGGGAGAAGATTTGGGAATTGGAATTATGTGGATTGGCGATGATTGGGAGAGGTATTGTCTCCGTTGCATTGTTGGTGGCTTCATCGGAGCTGTTGTCGTTGCTTCTGTGAGAGGTGGGTGTGGCCGGGACCTTATTATTCTCACTCTCATTGTCAACATCAGCTGACACACACACAGGCTTATGGGTGTTGGGGTCAATCCCTTTCTGCCTCAGTTTCTTCTTAATGCACGAATTCCACAAGTTCTTTATTTCATTGTCTGTTCTTCCTGGGAGCTGAGCAGCAATCTGAGACCATCTGCGCACAAACAAACCATTCAATTCCAATGGGTATTGCAGGATACGATGATAGGAAAAAAGGAGGAGTACCTGTTTCCAAGCACGGCATGAAGCTCAATGATCAAGTCCTCCTCCTGTTGGGAGAAAGGACCTCTCTTTAAATCAGGCCTGAGGTAGTTAATCCATCGGAGGCGGCAGCTCTTTCCACAGCGTTGAAGGCCTAGAAGGAAGGAAGAAGGGAGAGGAGAAGTGAGAGAGAGAGAGAGAGAGAGAGAGAGAGAGAGATTAGTATGGATAGAAAAAGAAAAAGGGATGATATTGATGGGAACCAGCGAGTTTAGGGACAGAGCTCCAACAGCCATGGCCATGCTTGGTGATATAATTGAGAAGCTTTTCATCTTCATCCGGAGACCAAAGTCCTTTCCTTAGCTTCTGTTTATAGCAACAAGAGTGCCTTCCCATGTGGAGGAGGATTCAATTGCGTTGCGAGAAAACAAAAAAGAAATGGTGCCAACACAGAGGATAATGAAAAGTTTATTGGAGAAAAAAAAAAGAAAAAAGGTGGGGAAAAAGTGTAAGCTTCAAGAAATGTCAGCAACAGGTACAGAAACAGGAACAGCAACAGCAACAGGAAGGGAAGAAAATAAGAGAGAGAGAGAGAGAGGAAGATGGGCGAAAGAGAAAGATGATAAGGAAGGGTTATGAAAGGGAAATGGTAGGGATTCTGAATTTAATAGGGGCAGTGGCAGGGGAGCCCCTTTTTTAAGATTCACACCATTTCTTTTCGCCTCAGGAGCTTCCACGTCACCCATGGGGTCCCTTCTGGACGGTCAGGATTCATTCCACACCATTAAACTATTTGACTTCTATATACGTCTCATCACTCATCCCACTCCTCTTCTCTCTCTTCCCATCACTATTTTTCATGCACCGACGCCCTCTCTTCTCCTTTTCCCCCTCAAAATTCATAACACAATCTTATACTACATGGGTAATCAAGATTCTTCGACATGATATGATATTTGAGAGCTCTCGTAGCTTTGTTTTCAACTTTTCCAAAAACTCTCGTGGCTTTGTTTTCGGCTTTTCCAAAAGGCTTCACTCAACAATTCTCCCCTCGAACAAAGTACACTATAACTCTCTTTAGGCTTATGGAGTTCTCGAACAGCCTCCCCTTAATCGAGGCTCGACTCCTTTCTCTAGAGCCCTCGAACAAAGTACACAACCCTTTCAGGCTTTGTTTTAGGCTTCTCCAGAAGGCCTCACTCAACAATCCTCCCCTCGAATAAAGTACTATATTCATGGCTTTGTTTTGGGCTTCTCCAGAAGGCCTCACTCAACAATCCTCCCCTCGAACAAAGTACTATAAGCCTCCCTTTTGTTCGATATTTGGGGATTCTATTGTCATGTCTAAGTTTAGGGCATGACTCTGATACCATGACGACTCTCCACAATGGTACGATATTCTCCACTTTGAACATAAGCTCTCATGGCTTTGTTTTGAACTTCCCCAAAATGCCTCGTAACAATGAAGATGTATTCCTTTACTTATAAACCCACAATCATTCTCTAAATTAGCCAATGTGGGACTAACTCCCAACAATCCTCAACACATCTCAACTTTTAAAATTTTTTTACTTCGGAGAGGTTATAATGCTTCGTTCCTCTCTCTAACTGACATGGGACCTTGGTTATCCTTACTCTATTTACCCTTGATCAAAACCTTAAAAAACCTCTACTATTTAATATAATTTGTGAAGGTTAAATGGATTGGGTTTGTGCACCTAAAAAAGGTTTCTAATAACTCACTTAGCTATATATCGGTTTCCATAGCTTAAGAAATATTTAATAAGTCTTCACTCGTAAGTCTCCCATTTCTAATGTTTATATGATTGTTTTATTGAAAGGTTTAATCTAAACACAAATTCATTAGATTTACTATGTTAAGGCCATAATCTGTAAGTGAAAGTTTAATTACTTACTTGGTAGAATAAAAGGCATGAAAGTGGTTTTCGAAAATGGTAGATGGACTAAAATAGACGGTTGATGAAACGTTATAAGAATTGAAGTTTATGAAATAGATGGTTTAAAAAGGCAAGAAGAAGAAGCAGCAAATCCCACCGCAGTATCCAATGAATGAATATAGAAATAATGAATGAAATAACAAAACAAGTAAACCCTACCGGGAAATTACGTTACATTGACACATTCATGATCCACCGCCAACAGATATTATCCTCTTTGAACTTTTTCTTTCAGACTTTTCTTTAAGGCTTCAAAATACGTCTGTTAAGATAAGGTTTTCACACTCTTATAAATGGTGGTTTGTTCTCCTCCCAACCAATGTGGGACATCACGACTATGGTTCCTCGTTACATTTGTTAATCCTTGCTGCCACCTCCCCCCTTTTTATTTATTGCCATTACACCCATTAAACCTCTCTTCCTCTATACTCAAACTCATCCTCTTTTTGGAAAATATTAACTCTCAACCTAAATCAACTCCCACTGTGGTGACCGTTAAAATGCATTTCAATTAATAAACGTAGGTCCTACCCTTTTATATTATTGTATTATTGTGTTCCTCTTCGAATTGGATACAACCTCTCGTCCGTTGATGGAGAGGATAAACAAGGAGTGGGACATGTTGTGTGAGTTTGACCTCACCCATGAAACCGCCACCATAGGTTTAAGATTTGCATTGTTTCTTTTGACTTTTATAATTTTCTAAGGGATAAGAAAACAACACAGGATTATTTTCTCCGTATAACGACCCAGATCTACCGCTAGCAAATATTATCTTCGTTGGATTTTTCCTTGAGTGGATAACAGATATTGTTCTCTTTGGGCTTTCCTTTTCGTGCTTCTCCTCAAGGCTTTAAAACGCGTCTAGGGGAAGGTTTTCACACCCTTTATAAAGGGTGATTTGTTCTCCTCCCAACCAATGTGGGACATCACAATCCACCCCCCTTCGGAGCCCAGCGTCCTCGCTGACACTCTTTCCTTCCTCCAATCGATGTGGGACCACCCCCAAATCCACCCCCAAATCCACCCCCTTTAGGGTCCATCGTCCTTATTGGCACACCGCCTCGTGTCTACCCCCTTTAGGGAACAGCGAGAAGGCTAGCACATCGTTCTGTGTCTGGCTCTGATACCATTTGTAATGACCCAAATCTACCGCTTGCAGATATTGTCCTTTTTGGGCATTCCCTTTCAGGCTTCCCCTCAAGGCTTTAAAACGCATCTAGGGGAAGGTTTCCACGCCCTTATAAAAGGGTGATTTGTTCTCCTCCGAACCAATGTGAGACATCACCCTCCACTTCAACTAGGTAGTGAATGAAAGGAAGGCAACCATCAATTAAGTAAGAGAGAGAAGGGTTTAGAAAGAAAACAAAAAAGATTAAGAAATAATTAAGAAAGAAAGGAAAGGATATGTGTTGATATGTGTAATTGCAGAGGGCATGTGCAGAGAAGGATGAAACAGTGTTCTAAATCATTGGTTACAAATATTTTAATTCAAAAAACAACCAAAGGGGGTTTGGATATGTATATGTGTGTGGGAATGGGCTGTCCTATAGTAATATATTATAGAATAGAATAGAAAAGAATAGCAGACATTGTATACATTTGGATAATTAAGTTTGTAATGAGAATCGAAGAGAAGATGCTCTCAATATCTTGTTTTAAAAGCGCCAAAAAAGTGAGCTGTTGTGTTTGCCAAGTCAACCCATGTTCACTCCACACCCTCATTCATCTCCTCTAATCTTTCTTAATTTACTTTGTTATTTAGATGTAGGTTGGATTAGGAGGGAAGATTGTAGCAAAGGAAGGAGGGTTGGATGGTACATATTGTCGTTCTTATGTTCTTGTTTCTCTAAAAGGCCTCCTATCAATATAAATAGTATTCTTTACTAGTATACCTATTGTAATGTCCCACGTTAGTTGGGGAGGAGAAAAAACCATCATTTATAGAGGTGTGGAAACCTTCCCCTAGCAGACGCATTTTAAAGCCTTGAGGGGATGCCCAAAAGAGAAAACCCAAAGAGGACAATATCTGCTAACGATGGATCTAGGTTGTTACACCCACCTATCATCTTCTCTTTAATTAGTCAGTGTGAGACGCTGAGTAATTCATGTTAGATGATGAAAGTCCCACAATGGCTAATTTAGGGAATGATCATGGGTTTACAAGTGAGGAACTCTATCTCCATTGGTATATGAGGTCTTTTGGAGAAGTCCAAATCAAAGCCATGAGAACTTATCTTCAAAGTTGACAATATCATACCATTGTGGAGAGTCGTGTTCGTCTAATATGGTATCAGAGCCATGCCCTGAACTTAGTCGTGCCAATAGATTGGTAAATCCTCAAATGTCGAACAAAGAACTCCAAAAGAAAAAGGAGTCAAGCCTCCTCGAAGGCAGTAAAAAATGACTAAGACTCTAAAGGAGTCGAGCCTCGATTAAGGGGAGACGTGCTTTGTTCGAGGGGAGGTGTTAGATAATGAAAGTCCCACATCGGCTAATTTAGGGTATGATGGTATGATTATGGGTTTATAAGTGAGGAACACTATCTCCATTGGTACGAGGCCTTTTGGAGAAACCCAAACCAAAGCCATGAGAGCTTATGCTCAAAGTGGACAATATTATACCAGTATGGAGAGTCGTGTTCGTCTAACAATTCATTTACCTTTGAGTTTAGATATTTTGATAATAGGTTGGTGATGTTTTTGGCTGATTGATTAATAAGGATATTAATTTTAAGTCTTTGAAAAGGTTAGACAACATTTTCCACTTAATTTTACAACTTGTTACTCAAACCTCAAACCGTCTCTTTCTAGTTAGCACAAACTAGATGATAATGAACCATATAAAGTAGAACACCATGCTCAATACATGATATCGATTGTTTTATGCAATATGTCAAACTCGCTATCATTCAAATGATTTTAGTATATATCTCTTAGCAAGTTGCTTTCAAGGAGATTGATTGATATATATTCATACACTTTAGCCCATATCTGAATCACATTTCATAAACTTTGGGATACCAAACATTGGATCTATAATTAAATACAGAAGAAAAAGAACACTTTCTTTGTTTCTGTATGTGGAAGTGTCATTCGTGAAAGGATATTGGATAGGGATATTTGGCAGGCACCGAGTATTGAGAGAACAAGTTTTGTGGTATGGGGCTAAGAAATGATGTATGGAAGTTCACTGTTGTTGTGGGAAACACTTCTCAATGCTTTGCAAAGACAGCTGAATCTGATAAGGATTCAATGATCCTTGCCTTTGAAAAGACCCAATGTATTTGTCTATTAATATTCATAAATTTGTCATTTCAATATGTAATCATCACACAAAACATTGCCCAACTTGCTTACTATATATGGAACCTTAACATCTTAATAACAATCATTATACTCACTTTTCACTTTGTTCTAACTTTAAAATTTTAATTTTATCAGATTGAAGAATATATTTGAATCAAATTGTGAAATTAACACCCACTTCAGAACTTAATGATCAACCATAAACTTATCAATAAATCCAAAATCAAAGGATGAAGCAAAAGACCCATAAAAAGTGACATCCACAAAAGTAGTCGGTTTGGGATAACCTCACGAAGAAAAAAAGAAACAAAAATCACTTTTTCAATAAGCAATCTTGGAAGAATTACTAATTCAAAGTACTTTTAGTATAACTTT